GCGTGATTGGGGACTTCAGTACCTCTGTTTGCTCCTCCATCACTTTTATCATCTGCTCCTGGCCCTTTACAAATGCACTCCTTGGTCTCCTTTCTGTCCTGCCTTTCTATTTTAAATTTTTCCTTCAGGGTCTCTCTCCACTCCCTGCATTCTCTTTTTTCGGCCTCTGAGGATTGGGGCACCTCTTGGAACATGTTCTCCTTACTCCACCTTGGTCGCTTCCCTATCTGGCGGTGGCCCTTCGCTGGTGTGTAGGGGGTTCCCCTGAAGGCCACATCTGCAGGAGCACAGGAAAAAATACAAGGAAGCATGATGGTTAGTTCACACACAGCATTGAATCTTTACAGTAAAATACATCTCTTTTAACATACGAATCACTTTCACACTGTCCCTTGACAAGCACACATCTTGGCGAACACCCTAAGCATGGTGAGTTTGGCCCAGGTCGGGGTTGGGTGTTCAGGATCGGGCAGAGGGTCTAGGTGGGTTTTTTTTAAGGGGATCGGTGCAGGTGACTAGGGACAATATTGTAAATTCTGCCACCATTTTCCTCAGGTGGGTTATCAAAGCCAATATTTCACTCCTGAGGGTAAGCAAGGGTGCATCTCTTGCACGCATGCAGCTTCAGACTGGGTCCCTATGCTGCTCGCCTGTGTGCTGCTTTGGTTCCTGCAAAAGTGATTGCCTATTGGCGTGGGAAAGTTTCCTACAATGGGGGAAGGAACAAAGCAGCTCTGCCAGGGAACCTTCAGCAGAGGATTGGCGAGTACCTACACAAAAGTTTCCTAGAGATCTCTATGGAGGATTCCCGTGAAATCTCGGTGTACATTAACACACTGTTCCACCACTCTGCTTAGCTGCATAGAGGAATGTATAGCACACTCAAACACAGCTAGTCTTGTACGTTTCTATCCCTTTACTCACTTCTAGAATATACAGAGCAAAGGACAGCTCTACCTCATATAATCAAGCAGCGTCTACTCAAGATCACTTACCAGAGCTCTCCTTTCCTGTATCATGCACACCAGAGACAGACTGCTGGGACTGGCTAGACCCCTCCAGAATGGAAAAGAGGTCCTGACTCGCTGTGCCACCAGATGACCCTGCCGTGTGCTGCACGTCATCTTCCATCTTGACCTCCTGATCCACGACTGTCTCCTTGCCGTTGAGTTCACTGTCCATTGCCTCCAGCCCCACCGAAGTATCCACGGGGCTCTTGGTGGTGGTGGTAGAGTTGCCGCCAAGGATGGCATCCAGCTCCTTATAGAAGTGGCGCGTCTTTGGCGCAGCACCAGAGCGACGGTTTGTCTCCCTTGCCTTCTGGTATGCCTGCCTCTTCCAGAGCATTTAAAGGGGGAGGAGTGGATGCCTGTGTACCTGGGTGCAGGGCAGCAGAGTTTGAATTGCTGACAAGAGCGGTCAGGATGGGCATTGTGGGATATCTTCTGAAGGCCATTTACAGCGACATAACCAAGTGCAGTGTCTACACTGACACTTTGTCAATATAACTTAGCCACAAAAATCTCTACGCCTCTCGTGAAGGTGGTTTTATTTTATCGGCAAAGCAGGAGAATTTTGTTGGCAGACAGAGCATTGCAGTGTGTACACCTCCACTGTTTTGTCAATGAAACCTAACTTTTGTCAACAAAACTGTGTAGTGTAGGCAAGGAGGTCTCTGGGCTTAGAAACCTCCTGCTGACAGCTACCATCTCAAAGAAATGTGACCGCAACTCATGGGGGCCAGTGGCAGAGGTGGTAAACCAATGTAATATTTAAGTAAATATTTTCAAGACAGTAAAATTATTTTCATCGTTAAAGTGAAGAACTCAATTCAGTAGTTCAATCTTCTGACTTTGGAATAACTAGACTCTCTGCAATCATAGGTTCAATATCTAATCAAGTTAACTCACCCCTTCTGTCAGGGTTCCTTCCCCACTCTGAACTCTAGGGTACAGATGTGGGGACCCGCATGAAAGACCCCCTAAGCTTATTTCTACCAGCTTAGGTTAAAAACTTCCCCAAGGTACAAATCTCTATTTGTCCTTGGACTGAGGTATGCTGCCACCACCAAGTGATCTTAGAGAAAGAATCAGGGAAAGGACCACTTGGAGTTCCTATTCCCACAAAATATCCCCCCAAGCCTACACCCCCTTTCCTGGGGAGGCTTGAAAAATAAACAAGGTGAGCACAAACCAGACCCTTGGGTTTGTAGGACACTAAAAACCCAATCAGATTCGTAAAAAACAGAACTTTATTATAAAGGGGAAAGAAAGTAAAAGAAGCACCTCTGTAAAATCAGGATGGAAGGTAATTTTACAGGACAATCAGATTAAAAACACAGAGGATTTCCCTCTAGGCAAAACTTAAAAGTTACAAAAATCCAGGGATAAACCTCCCTCTAGCACAGGGAAAATTCACAAGCTAAAACAAAAGATAAACTAACGCATTTCCTTGCTTTACTTACAATTTTTGTAATCTAGATACTTAGTTCAAGTAGGGCTTTGGGAGATGTATTTTCCCTGTCCTGATTCCTCACTGACCCGGAGAGAACCAACAAAGATAACAAGAAAAACCTTCCCCCACAGATTTGAAAGTGTCTTCTCCCCTTATTGGTCTTTTTGGTCACGTGCCAACCAGGTTACCTGAGCTTCTTAACCCTTTAAAGGTAAGGAGGGATTTTATGATACCCTTAGCTGTATGTTTATGACGCCTTCTCTGAGCCAAAGTACATACATTTGCTCTTGTACCCTTTGCTGTGGGAAATACCTTATTTTTAAAAGGTCCTGTTTGCTCTGCATTAACATTACAGACCCCAAGCCGTTTTTTGTGAATGCAGTTGCATCAGTGTGCTTGACTAAAATGACTTCTCCCCTCATTTTTCATTGTGATGTCAATCACGGTATCTAAGCTGTATGCATCTTATGGGTTTCCTTTATATATACCTATGTAAAGCATCTTGGAATGTAAGATGCTATGTCAATATCAAATATTGTTATTAAACCAGGCTAGGGACTGATTTGCAATCTGTCACTAGAACTCTGATTTCCAGAGTCAGTCTTCAGCAAGATGGGGTCACCAGCAAGAGGCTCCAAAATACCCAATTATAATTAGTAAAATGTATTTCCAGAAAGTTAGTTTATAGATGTAAATTAATTCCTTTCACCATATGAAGTGTTCTGAGGAAAATGTGTGCAGTTTTCACTAAGGACTGACCAGGAGAAATTTCAAAGCAAATAACCAACTCTGACCTACATTTCTCTTTCATGTCAACAGACTGTTACATTTCTTTAATAGTCCCATAGCAAGTGCATAAATGGCTCAGCCTGCATTTTGAGCAATGAGACTGATTAAAATGCATTATCACTTTCCCATCATTGTGGTTTGCTAGGTGTTAAGTTTGACCACTAAACATTAGTAAGAAATGCTAGGAAAAATGCTTGAGGGTCTTCAGAAACCTCTGGTGTCAGTTTCCATATGACAATTCCCACCTCCCTCCCCCATTAATTAGCCTTGGCATTTTCAGATCTCTAATTGTGAGATGCTTCAGACTGCAAACTTCATGGGGCTACACAGTGGGAGTGGGGATAATGCAGCAAGGAGGAGGCCCTGTATAGATTCCCGTTCATAAACAACTCCCAACAGAAGTCTCGGCAAAATAATATAGCTCTGTATCTAATATTAAGTGCTAAAGAGTTATACTTGTCATGAGCAAAAAGTGAGATAAAGACAAGGCTGAAAGCTTGTAGTGTTGATCCATACAGTGGATTTAGGAAAGGGGTTAAGGAACATTTCCGTTTAGGTGTAGACTGTGACAGATACAGAAGGATTTCCCTCACTGCCTCTTTCTTTGTGCTTCTGGTTAATGAACAGATTTAAATGCATCAGCTTCTCCAAGTACTGAAGCGGAAAAAATCATGCTTCCAAACAGGCTCTGCATTGCTGGATAGCCATTCCATTACTTCATTATTTAGTTTCTTTGGGCTGCTTAACACAATATTTGCCTGAAAGGGTTTGATTTTTTTGTTTTTTAACCTTACACATTTTTCACACCGTGTTAGCATGAGCTATCCTTCAGTATGCTATATGGAAAACCAACACAGATGAAAAAGTATATCTTTAGAAGCCAGTGACAGTTAAAAATAAATAAATGAAAAACCTAAAGAAAAATGGGTGCTCTCTTGTCTCCTTTTGTTACAGAACATAAACACTTTAGAGTTGACTACATTAGATTTGAAAGCTGATTTTCCCACACCAGCAGTAAATACTAGAAAAGTGGACTAGAAGCTGTCAAATTCAAAGCAACAAAGGGTTGACAGATTGTTACTCCCAATACCCTAGCATCTGTATTTCTGGATATAATAATCTGCTCTGAAAGCACTTGAAAACAAGGTGATGAAAAATTGGCAGGCATTTCTAGTGCTCTCTCTCTAGCACTCCTGCATGGAGTCTGCAAGCTAGCCAGGAATCCAGCAGAAAGAAATGTATTAATTCTCACCCACTCCACCTCAGCAGAGGTTTGAATTACAAACAGATCTTCAAAACAAAGAACAGCTTTTGCTTTTGTTACAGTAATAATAAACATTAGTTTTGTTGTGAAAAGAATTACTTGAACTTAATTGCTACAAAATATCACAATTTTTAAAACATACTAGAGACAGTTAATTAGGTGTTATTGACCATTGGTTAAACTTACCTGGATCATTCCAAATCAGATGACCCAGCAAAAGAATGTGAGGTTATTTTCCCATTCCCTTCACCCCCCCCCCGTAATAATGCAGTTATTGATTCCAAATTCAGATTTAATACAAAGGTTACTAACAACTCTCTGATTTAATTCATTGTTGGTCAAATATTCCTTTTTTTTTTTTTATTAACTTGCTGCTTGGAATGAGTTGAGCTCCAGCCAAAACCTTGAAGAACAAAGTCAGTCAGTTGCCTCCATAAAGGCACCATATCTTTGATGTGGTGTTTAAACATGTGACTTCTATCTCTCGTTTCAGGTGATATACGTAATGACTTGTACCTGACACTAGAGAAGGGGGATTTTGAGAGAGGCGGGAAGAGTGTGCAGAAGAACATCGAAGTGACCATGTATGTTCTTTATGCAGATGGAGAGATCCTGAAGGTAAGCAAATTAGTTTGTTTCCGTGCTGAGTTACATCAATATCAACCTACTTGTTCCATGCACATCTTCTCTTGCCTTCTCTAATACCCTGGAAAGTTTTGAATAAAATGATTTCCTTCAACATTTTGGGCCTTTGGGGTTCTTTATTTACTACTATACTATGATAAAGAGATTTAACTACCAGGCTTGAATTAATTTAGGGCAATTCTGCTAGTGGGGAAATAATGGTAAACCTCTGAATTTGGGCACTTGGACAAAACATTAATAAACAGTAAGTGAAAAGCTAATTTAGTTAAACTTTTCACTCAGAGTGGATCAAAATTCAAGAATTCCATGCCAGTGATGGGAGGGGAGAAGGGTGCGGCTGACTAAATTTAAGTGAATGGCATTGTGCTCTGGTGTGTGGGATCACAGCACTGCTCAGGTTTGGCTCAGCTGCCACTCTGTTAATGATGAGGGGTGGCTGGGCCAAATGTGAATGGCACTGTAACTCTGTGCACCAAGTCGCAATGCCCAGAATGGGGAACCAGGCCCAGCCCCGGGGAAGGAGCCACTGCTGCAGCATGTGTGGGGCAGGCTCACAATTTTTAGTATCTAGCAAAAGTTATGAGGTTAAGCTCCCAGCTTGTCCTTGAAAGTGTTGTGCAAGTTTCCTCTGAGGATGAGGACTGAATATGTCACTCTATACCTGACTGAATAGAGACACTAGATGTATGGCTTATTAAAATAATCTGTTTCCCACTGAAACCCCCCCTTTCCTTTCCTCCCTATGACTGGAGGGGTATTAACGGACCATTTCATCTTGAATGGTCCCTTGAAATGTGTGTTAGCTACTTATGCTAAACAATCTGTTCCACCTTGTATTTAGCTGTGACACTGAGTGAGTTTCCCAGACCTATAGAAGAGCTCTGTGTAAGCTCGAAAGTGTATCTCTCTCACCAACCAGAAGTTGCTCCAATAAAAGATACTACCTCACCCACCTTATCTCTGATATCTGGGAACAACACAGCTACAACAACAATACTGCATACAAAAATATGAGTAAGGATGACAGAATTGGGCCTTTAGGGAGAGATTGAGATGTCCTTAAAATTATTGTCTTGTCCCACTGAAGTCTGTAGAGGGCATTGTATTCAAATTTGAATTATTTCCCAAGTCAACACGTTTGGTGGTTTTAGTCTAATTTCTGTCTAATTTTAGTGGAAATTTCCTCACACTACTTTGTAATTTAGCACCCCTTATCACAACCAGCAATCTCTGTTCAGAATAAGCCATAGACCAGGAACAGCAAAATATATTTCAAATTGGAATTGTGGTGCTTTGACTGTGTGAGAGAAACTTGCGCAGTTCTGCTCAATTACTGTATGCTTGGAACAGAGAATTGCTATCAATCTCTCCTCTCTATTAAGCACTAAAAGTTATTAAATTCACCCTATAATTAAAAGAAACTTGGGGGAGAAAATGGCTGCATCGCACTACGTAAGCAGCCTCAAGGAACTCAGGTGATCCTTCTGGTAAAACAAATATAAACACTGAAGATATTGGATCAAGCAGCTCTTCCAGAAACTTCTTACTATTAATGTTTACAATAAAAAAATTAATCTTTAATGCATTCTTTTTCATTTTTTATTATGTTGAATTATTGCAGCTGAAGTTCTCTAGCTGACAGTGTCTTTGCAGCAAGAGCTTCTCCTTCTGTTTAATATCAAAATCCTATCTGACCTTGAATGATATCTGCTTCACTCCTGATGGGAAATGGCAGGGATGTCACAAGTATACAATTAAAAGCCCACTTGGTCTAAATGGCCAAAATGAAGATTAACTAGACCACATGTATGAAGTGTAAAGTAAAATACCTTGAAATTTTATGAATAGTTTGAAACAAAACAGAATGATTCTGAAAATAAAAGATAAAACAATATTAATTTAGTATCATACTGAAAACACCTAGGGTAATAAACTCATATAGGTTTTTGGCAAATGGATGCCTAGACATCTTAAAATCCATTACAGAGCTGAGACTATTAAAGTGATAAATCTCATCATTCTCAGAGATCTTCACCTAAATTAAGAGGAAGACCTTGAAAGCAAAATTTTGTCTAATCTTTACAGCATTTTGGAGGCTGACACAAATGTTTGAGGAGCTGAAGTTTTCTGTTTTTCAGGGTTTTTCTATAGATTTACAACACCAGTATACCCTTAAAAGGTCAACTGGGACAAGGATATTAATGTGGAATGATAAATTACCCCACTAAATTAACAGTAATCCCAGATGGCTGGTCTCATTTGCTTTTACTTTGGCAGATGAATTGGCAAAATTTTTACATCATGCAGAAAACTCGACAGTGAGCAAAGAGATGAGACAGGATTAGTCTCCAAATTGAAAGCTGTATAGTGTGTTTCTGTTATGTGGTACTGATTATTTCTGCGTATTGGCGACTGGCATTTTTGAAGTGGTCTAAATTCAGTTCAATAGATGTTAAATGTGATATGTTTCATGCTGCTATTCTGAAGTAATAGACTATACAAATATTCAGATTAAAGGGAGCAGAGTTCTGCTTTCTCTTGTGGGCTCTTATTGCGTTAGGCTGGATATTTTGCTTACTTGTTATGAGGTATGTCATATCCCATTTAGGAATCCTCAGTTGTTGTTAATCAGTTCCTTTTTGGACAGCTGTTTGAACATTTGAAATGCTCTATAAGTTAGGGAACATTCTTTTGAATTTTGGGTCTGATCCTCAGCTGGTGTAAATTGAAATATCTCCATTGTTTTCAGTCAAGCTGTGTTGACTGATACCAGTTGAGAATCTGGCCTTACATGTTTCAGTTAAATATTTGGTCTGAAGTTTAAAAACACATGAGCTTCTTTGTGCATTGAGCACACAATTTCTCCATTTTGAGGATGTGTCCACTTGAACTAATCCGTTTGGATTGTAAATTCTTTTGGGCAAGGACTGTCTCTTGCTATAGTATCTGTTTGTACAGTACCTAGTACAATGAGGCCCCAATCTCAGTTGTAGCCTCTCGCTGCTACTGTAATATAAATAATAACAAAAATATTGGTCAGTATTGAAATGGCCCATCTTGTTGAAATAAGGATGGTCAGAGAGCTGGAGATATATTCAGTTCATCTTACTTAGAATCAATGTATGGCCCATGGTTCAGCTATGCATGCCAACATTACATGTTGACTAATTTTATAGATTTGGCATATTTATTATTATTGATATGTTCAATAATAATTATGGTTAAAGTTTCTCTTTTTCTTAATTAAACCTTTTAAAGTATTTCCTTTGTTGGATGATGGTGAGGTCATGTAAGGAACTAGGACAAAGGTTCAGATATCACAGATTTGAGAGGTTAGAGACCCATATAGATTATTAGGTAGATTTTTTTTATAAGTGACAGGTTTCAGAGTAACAGCCATGTTAGTCTGTATTCGCAAAAAGAAAAGGAGTACTTGTGGCACCTTAGAGACTAACCAATTTATTTGAGCATGAGCTTTCGTGAGCTACAGCTCACTTCATTGGATGCATACCGTGGAAACTGCAGCAGACTTTATATGCACACAGAGAATATGAAACAATACCTCCTCCCACCCCACTGTCCTGCTGGTAATAGCTTATCTAAAGTGATCATCAGGTTGGGCCATTTCCAGCACAAATCCAGGTTTTCTCACCCTCCACCCCCCCACACAAATTCACTCTCCTGCTGGTGATAGCCCATCCAAAGTGACAACTCTTTACACAATGTGCATGATAATCAAGTTGGGCCATTTCCTGCACAAATCCAGGTTCTCTCACCCCCTCACGTCCCTCCCAAAAACCACACACACAAACTCACTATCCTGCTGGTAATAGCTCATCCAAAGTGACCACTCTCCCTACAATGTGCATGATAATCAAGGTGGGCCATTTCCAGCACAAATCCAGGTTTTCTCACACACCCCCCACCCCCATACACACACAAACCCACTGCTGGTAATAGCTCATCCAAACTGACCACTCTCCAAGTTTAAATCCAAGTTAAACCAGAACATCTGGGGGGGTGGGGGTAGGAAAAAACAAGGGGAAATAGGCTACCTTGCATAATGACTTAGCCACTCCCAGTCTCTATTTAAGCCTAAATTAATAGTATCCAATTTGCAAATGAATTCCAATTCAGCAATTTCTCGCTGGAGTCTGGATTTGAAGTTTTTTTGTTTTAAGATAGCGACGTTCATGTCTGTGATTGCATGACCAGAGAGATTGAAGTGTTCTCCGACTGGTTTATGAATGTTATAATTCTTGACATCTGATTTGTGTCCATTTATTCTTTTACGTAGAGACTGTCCAGTTTGACCAATGTACATGGCAGAGGGGCATTGCTGGCACATGATGGCATATATCACATTGGTGGATGTGCAGGTGAACGAGCCTCTGATAGTGTGGCTGATGTTATTAGGCCCTGTGATGGTGTCCCCTGAATAGATATGTGGGCACAATTGGCAACGGGCTTTGTTGCAAGGATAAGTTCCTGGGTTAGTGGTTCTGTTGTGTGGTATGTGGTTGTTGGTGAGTATTTGCTTCAGGTTGCGGGGCTGTCTGTAGGCAAGGACTGGCCTGTCTCCCAAGATTTGTGAGAGTGTTGGGTCATCCTTTAGGATAGGTTGTAGATCCTTACTAATGCGTTGGAGGGGTTTTAGTTGGGGGCTGAAGGTGACGGCTAGTGGCGTTCTATTATTTTCTTTGTTAGGCCTGTCCTGTAGTAGGTAACTTCTGGGAACTCTTCTGGCTCTATCAATCTGTTTCTTTACTTCTGCAGGTGGGTATTGTAGTTGTAAGAAAGCTTGACAGAGATCTTGTAGGTGTTTGTCTCTGTCTGAGGGGTTGGAGCAAATGCGGTTGTATCGCAGAGTTTGGCTGTAGACGATGGATTGTGTGGTGTGGTCAGGGTGAAAGCTGGAGGCATGCAGGTAGGAATAGCGGTCAGTAGGTTTCCGGTATAGGGTGGTGTTTATG